GGGGGGGGGGGGGGGGGGGGCTGATCGAGAGAGAGAGCGAGGGTCTTTTCAGCGTGAAACGGCTCTTGAGCCGTTTTTACGTATGGCATCTCTCACTTTTCACAACCTGGGTTTTGGGAGGCACGATGCAGCGCAACGCCTGTTGCTGGGCTCTTTCCCGGGCAACGTTGGGGTGAGTTTGTGGGTGATCTTTGTGCAGCATCTCACAACCGTCGCGCGGCTTGGGTCGAGGAAGGGGATGGAATAGTTGGTTGTTGTTTGCGAGGTTATCCCAACGCACACGTAGGCACGGTTCACATCTAAGCGGCGTGTGTCTCGGTCACTTGTTTCCCACACATACCCTGCATAGATTGGAAACGTTGGCGCCTAAAGAAGACGGAGCGCGCTCTCCGGTGTTCGCGGTTTCTCATGGCAAGAGAGGTGCCTCAACAGTACAGCAGCGTTTGGAAGCGTTTCATTCTCAGGTCCGCCCCAAGTGCCCGAAAGCTTTAGCATCATCACTCTCTGCACCCGCCGACCATTAGCCCGTCGTGCGTTGCCGGTGGAAGCGACGACCCCGGCAGGGCCTGTTTTTATCCCCGCATCCGCAAGAACATGTGTCTGATGTGTCCGCTCGCGGTTTGCATCTTAACCAATCTTTCCAGCGGCAAATGGGCGAGAGACTGAAAGACAAACATTTTGAGAGAGGAAGGGAGAGGGAGAGAGGGGCCTCTGCTTGTTGGCAGACACTTCGTGTATTTTTCAAAAATCGAAGTACTTGGAGCTATCGCACGCTCGCAAGCCACGTAGTTCGAACGATGTGCAGGAAAGAGAGACCCTATCCGGTGCTGGGGGACTCGACCGCACAGGAGGAAGCACCGCGCTTTCCACCCCATATTAGATAACTCAGCGTGTGTATACTTCCAACACCTTGGCGCGCGATCTCCTCGTGGGTCAGTTGCAATCAGTGTGCAATACCATCGAGTGCAGCCTGATCTGACTGCTTCAAGCTGGGTCCAGCTGTCATCAGACGTTTTCCATACTTGCACCACTCGATTACCTCACAATCAAAATGGACCCACGACGATCGATCGCGACGATCGATCGCCTTATCACAAACCTACACGCGACCGTGACACATCGTGAACACAAGACGTGGGGGTGGTTGTGCGGCTTGCATGAATGGTGGTAGAGGCAGACTTTGAGCTGTCTACCCCGCGATTGCTGTAAAACGAAGGCGACGAAATTTTAGATCCGTATTTTTTTAGAATTTACCGGACAGATGAATAACTATCCGCACGGTTCTAACGCATACGCCGGCGGGCAGAGATCAAAGACGTTCAATTAGTCAGATAGACGGCAGCTTTCATGTCGCCTACCCAGTCGCCCCAGCAAGAGGACGCTACTGACACACGGCTTGTCGCGCCAGACCGTCACCCTTGTTTCGCTTGGGGGGTGGTTCGGCGTTACTTTTAACAAGCGGTATGCCCACGATGGGTGAGTTTTGTGATGGTCTGCGCACCACGGGAATCCCGAGATGCACCTTGCTCTGCTCAACCGAACGCGCCCTCACACAGGACGCGATCTCAAGAAGAGCGACTTCACACCCAACCTGTTTTTACTGATCGCCCGTGGCATTCTTGTGGCGTCGTCTGAATCTAAATATGATGAGTAGGTCCTTGGAGGCTCTGTACGTGTCTGTCTGCTTAGAACATGTATGTTTCCTTCGACCATCGTATGTTTTTTCTTGCTCTTTCCGTGGTCGAGTGAAGAACAACCATTTGCGCCTTTCAACAACAACCAGGAGGCTCATGGGATGACATCTTTCCGGCGTCCGACCTCATGAAGGAGATCCCACTACAGAGTGGGGGGGGCTCAAAAACGCCGGTTGATTAGCGCCAGGGGCCCTGCATGGCGCCGGTAAAATTGGGCACAGATGAATCACCAGGTCATTCTGTACATTGAATAGCGCCGGTCCCTCTGAAAAGCGTCGGTCGATGCGCCAGGCGCATGCCGGCAATATTGAAGGCCCTTCACCAGCTGTATCGCCAACTCCAGTTTGCAGACCCAATCATAGCTTTTCATCAAGTCGGCATGCCCTCGGCGACCCCTCCGTTATGCAGGGACGCGAGAAATAAATCGTGGCACCCCATTCTCGTGGGGGTTCATTCGCCCATGCCGCCCCATATCCATCCTCGAACGAACGTAGAATTAGTTGGGGGTAGAATATCAAGGGGATATATAGGCAAGAGCGCGTTGTTGTTGGATTTCGGCAGCCAACAGCATTGGACGGCGTTTCTGAAGTTGTCGTCGCGTATCGTGCAGTCCGCACGCAGCAATCTCCAGCCCGCACACAAGTATTCACACGTACATTGTCATACAACCTAACGCAGACATGTTTTTGCTGCGGTCTTTCTTTTGTGTGATAAAGCGTTCAATCAAGTGTTAGTTAAGCGTTCCCGTGAAAACCTTGCCCCCGAGCGGTGGCATCCAAACGTGCTGGAATGCTCCCAAGAGGGCCCTACGAGAACACATTTTCGGCGGCCCTGTTGTTGTTGAGCACCGCCGTCGCACTTTTGCAGTAAATGCAGCGGTGTGTGGGTCACCTCAGAGTGGGCCGTCGGACGCACTTTTTGGGAGGCGTCATGCATCGTCCCTTGCGATGCGGTAGCAGTTTCGGCACCTTGTCGCATTCGGGTTGACTTGTCCCCCTCAAGAATACACCGACGCAGCGTGACGGGGGGGGCTGCGCGAACAATCCGCTTCCGGATGTATTGGGTGTTTATTTGTCTGACGAAGCTGGTTGCAACTCAACCATCGTCAGAGGGTGGATGAAGTGGCCAGAGACTCTATCGGGCACGCGACAGCCAGCCCTGGATGGATACAGTGGCATCTTTTTTACCATATATGAAGACGTGCATGCATCGATGGCTGGACATGTTTGGGAGACAACCTTACGACCCCGACACACTCAGCCCCATGAGTGATTTCCTCAAAAGCATGCATGCATACCGTTCGAGATCGATGGTCTCATCATGCATGTGCTTGAGCACGAGGTACGACCACGACCAAAAGAATGATGGGAAGCATGACTACATCTGATCTGTGCCCAGGGAGGTACATACCTGGGGAGACTTTGACAGACCAGTTATTTTTGTCGTTTGTCTCGCAAGTCAGAATTTCCCACGTTGCTGTGAAACAACACCACAACGCCTACAATGTTTGTGCTGCCTTGAGCCCGTATTTCGCACACCATATGCCATGCCGGGTAGCGGGCTCGAGGCACGAATTCAAAGTAGCTAGAGGCGGATTGTCACTTTGTAAAATGCCGAGCTCGGTGACGTGGCACGGCAAACAAGACGCAATAGTGTGCATATATGCGGAGTATTTCGTTTCACCGCGGCAACCAGAAGCTGCCGGACGGATTTTATCTGTGACGTACGCATATTTTTCGTGTAGTTGTTGTCTGGGAGATTGTTCCTCCGTGAGCCGTCTTGCATGTTTCCTCCGTCTTCTTCTCTCCTTCTTCTCTCCGTCTTCTTCCCTTAGAATGAACCCCCTCATGTGAGGAACCATACACATCCTCGCTTGTCAAAACTTTCCAGCTACAATCTCAATGCAGCATATACTCCTGCCAACACAATGAAACGGTACAACGAACGGCAACTTCGCTTTTGTTTCGGCAAGGCACCCCGCCTGATGAAAATGCATTGGGACCATATTTGGATCTTTCTTCCACAATAACCGTTTCTTTGGCCGGCGTTTATTAGGTGTTGTATCAGCCAGGATATCACACACCATGTACTATATTTCGAACGGTATTTGTAAAACTAACATGCATTGTGGGAGAGGGGACGACATACGCGGTCAGTTTGCGACTCGCTGATGGTTGGGTGCGAAACTCTCCTGCGGTGCCCCCAATTCGTGCACCTGCTGTGGTCTAGACCAACTCGTAGGAGAGACAGGAAGGGGGATGCTGCTACGCTCGACAACGTGCGTAGCGTTCGATGGAGATCTGGTTAGGCGCGAGAAGGTGTGATGGACGCACGTGTAGCGTACTTGTCTGTGGGCCCTGCTGGAGAGAGGGTGACAGATGGATGTTCTACTAAAGTTGAACACAAAATTACGGAAAGCTGCCTTTGGCAGGTGGTTGAGACGTCACTTATTGAAGGTGTACGTTTGTGTCCGTTACACATAGCCGTTACCTAAGTTCTTGCTCGTTTCCGCAACTCGCATGTTCAAGAAGGGTTGTCCCCAACCTGAGCTCAACGAGTGCTACTCGCTGCGTCTAGGCAGCTAGACAGACCCGGCGCGGAGCTTACCATTTCCAACCTTTGCCAAAAAGTTATCTGACAGTCCTTTACATGATCAAATATGCGAACTCAACCCCGACTCCTTGTTGTAACTGCGCGGTTTCTGCACCGCTGTGTGAAGGCTTCGCAGTGAAAGAAGCACTTGTTTGCGTTTGTCTTTATCATGATTGCGTTGATTGCTGCAGTTTCTTGCGACTTGAATGATCTTCGGGTGGAGACGTTTATTTCTTGCGAAATCTGTTCGGATTTTTGTACATCGTTTGTGCTTGCCGATGGAGAGTAGGTGACAGCGTGACAGCAGTGACGAGCTGTGTGTGGGGGGTCAACGGGATTTCACAGCTATGCATCCAACAAGGCGTGGTGGAGACAGCAGCCGTGAAATCGGTGGGAGCGCTCTGATCTTTTAAAGACTATCCTCTCTTGGACGGAGACGGCCGCAAGGGTCGTGGTTAGCAAAACATTTTGCCACAAGCTATTGCCGATGCAGCTGAAGTCAATCCGTTTTGTATTGGCCAACGGCGTCTTGCTGTTTTTCTCTCGCTCGGGTTTCAGGTCGTTTCGTCTATCTATCGTTCGCGTCAGCTTCATCAATCAACATGTCTCATGTGCTGTTCTGACGGTATCAAAATTACATGTTGCGAAGTGTGCAGTTAATTCTAGCAGCGCACGGCGTGTACATACCTGGATGGAATCAACCCGTTATATAAATGATACAGGTTGTCCATGCTTGCCGCTGTTTTGAACAAAACGGACCCAATCAATCGTGCGACGTTTTTTGGCACTGATTGTGATATATAACGGAGCAATGTCGCAGGGCGTGTGCCGCTATCCACACTTGTGTAGTACATCAACAAGAGTAGCGAAGCGCACCTCTTCCCGGTAATATCATCAGGTAACAGTGAGTGTAGTTGCGGCGCAAAATAGAACATCCGCTCAGAAAATTTGGGTCTCCGCCTTGCCCCTCTTGTCGTGGAGTATACATCAAGCTGGTGTACTGCTCGAGCTCTTGACGCTGGCGCAGAGGTGCCAAGCTATGCAGCAGTAGCTACCCAACTGCTGCCTTAGCTGCACCTTTTCAACATGAGCAATAGTTTGTTTGTGCCTTGTATTTTTTGACGTTTCGATTTGTCCCCGAGGGTGCTTTGTGTCGTGTTTGTTGCTGATTGAATCTAAGCGCACGCCCTCTGCAGGTGTGTTTTGTTTTGCGTGGCTGATCGGACTCCAAGACGACATGAAACAGAGAGCAGTGATTAGTTGCAGCGTGCTTATGGACGAAGCTCTTCACTTGTAGACTACTGCTGCTGCTGTATTCTCTCCACATATTATCTGATACCCACACCAATGGTAGTTCGGTTGCGTATTTCTTTTGCGAAAAACCGCGTAATCAACTGCGGCAGGGGCAATACGGCAGAACAGAGGCGTGTTTCCCTTCCATGCATATTATTTTTCCTAATACATATCCAAACCAGGTATGAATTGCTTGGCACGACAATGCATGTTTTTAGCGGTGCGTGCTTGGCATTTTAGTCATTGTGGCTGCTCATCATCTTCGTTTTTGGCGGAAGAGGCGCGGAAGCATGTGAGATTTTTTCATTGTTCCTGACTCGGGGGAAGTTTCTATTTGTTCCGAATTATTTACGGCTGCACCGTCGTCTTGCGGCTGCTCCGTCGTCTTACGGTTGCCCGTTGTCTTACCTCAGGGATTGTCCTTAGTTACACGTTTTTATTCTGCACTTATTCGACGTCGGATGCGCGGTGCCACATTGCTTTGGATTTGAAGGAGTGCTGCTCAGCATCTCCGCGGGTGCGAACGGTTCGTCCCTTTGCCCCTTCTGACTTTTCTTTTCGTCCTTGTTCATTCTGCTGAAATTTCACGATCGGTTTCAACGGGTCTCTCGTGAAACGGACGCGTAGAAGCCAGCGCTGTTCGTCTACTTGTGTAATCCAACATTTGTTGCAGTGCACCCAGTAGTAGTGAGCCACACGCACACCAGTAGTCTAGATATCATGTTGGTTTGGAGTCCGCTCATCGAACGCAATTGTCAGCGGTATCGGGGTCAATCAAGGAGCAGTGCGATCTCATGCCACATGCCACTGCTGCTGCTGTCTGTCGGTCCAGCTCACTGGATACTATCCAGTCTGGATCGTGCTGCCGCATCGCTAACTCACCTTGTTTAGCTCTGTATTGGATGCCAGTCATTGAAGTGTTGATCGCAACCAATCTGCCTGGCCCCTACTGCCGCAGTGGTGTGCACGAACGGCGGCTTTTTTGTTCTGCCGTATCCAGTTTGTACACACAGCAGCAGCAATATTGTAGCTTGTTTGTGTGAGTGCATTCAGTTACAGTGCATACGATACCACGTTTTGGGGGGCGTGGTCATCATGTGCATTCTGCACTGAAACGGGCACGGCACGGATTCGCTGTAGGCAGTGCCGAACGACTTCTCTGTTTTCGTGAGTGTACAGCGGAATTTCCCGTTGGTACAATTTATCCGCCCTGATGATGCGAAATTAATGCCCTTCGTCCTGCAACAAGAAAAATAAAAATCCTACACGACATGCATCTATCTGAGCAATACCCTCCCTTCCCATACTCCCGCGTCTCGTTTGTTTGCTGAACGTACGGTATGAATCGACTCTCTAACTCAGACTGTACAGAAGAGGCTGGCCAAAGAGCGTGCAAAGCGCGAGCAAGAGAAGAAACTTGCCAGGATGCTTGGGTTCAAGGGAGGTAGAGGTAGAGGCAGAGGGAGGGGAAGATAATACTTTCATGGGGATACCTTCCTCACTTGTGCTTGGGCACCTTCTCTGCTGCGACACGATGTTACAATCTTGCTTATAGCGTGTTCAGTTGATGCATGGCCACGGTACTTCGATCCTTCGAGAGATGTTCGAGAATGTTCTTTGGCCTTGTTCCGGGATTGGTGTTGCAGACATACTTCGTACATACGAAGGAAGCGTTCTGCTTAGACTACTACTGTACTCAGACTATCGCAGCTTGCCTCGGGCAGAAGAGTGTTTTGCTTGCTGTACCCTAGCACAATCTTGTACACAGCCGAATGGCGTCTTCCTCCTCCGAAGCTAAAGCACGAACACCAAAAACAAACGACGGGGGTGTGGCACTTATTTTGCGCACAAGTTCCACTTCTACACTACAGTCGCCCCGGTGGTCTAGTGGGTAGCCTCGCAGCCTGCTAAGGGCTAGGTCATGGGTCGAGTCCCGGCAGAGAGAGTTTTTTCTCACTAAATAAATCCTGGTCTAGGATGAAAGCGACGCGCTGCAAAGCTCGTTTGTTAGTAGGTAAACCATAATCGACCTCGTAAGTCGCGAGGGGAGGGATTGCTGTACCCTTCTCGCGATAAAAATACCACAGGCATGAACCGCAGGAGGGGGTCCAACCCCCCCCTCCTATGTGACCCCGGTTGGGTCGTCTAGCTAGTAGAAGTGGAGGGTAGGGGCCAGAGGGGCAGACGACAGAGTCCAATGATGGGAGAAAAACAAACAAAAACAAAAAACTACAGTGTTCAGTCAATGTCAAACCGACACACACGGAACACAAAGTGGTGACTAATATGGTTGCGGCGTTTTCCGCCCTTGGGATACGGTCGTAGGTACAACCTTGAGAGGAGTCGACTTTGGCGAAGTGGAACACACGCATCGCATACATTGGCGAGGTGGGAACAACTACACGTATCAACAGTAGAAACAGTACGACATGCACAGTAACGAATGAATCAAAGAGGGTATCTACAGTATGTGTGAGTCGCGTCCACCTAAACCTGTCTGCGCAAGGTTTTCTTTGACGCTCAAGGTTTCTGGCGAGGGTTGGAGCGGCACGGCACCCGAGAACTTCCTAGCGTCATGAGTTTTTGGAGCGAAGGATGCACGATGTACCAGGCGACCTGTCCCAGCTGGAGTGTACGCCCCGCCGAAAGTGATGTTGAAAGTTTTCTTGATGAGGCTCCCGGATATTTCATGGCTCCCTGGCCCGACATTATTTCGCGAGGCCATGTGCCTAAATCTTGCGCCTTGCGGAAGCCTGGGTCCTGTCTGCGCTCGACTCCGAGGAGGGGGGACCGCTGTCCTAGTAGCGGCGAGGTTGTACGTGCCTGGCCCTGGAATACCCCGGGTACCCTTCACCTCGAACGCCCCGCCGTCTCGTCGATCGGTTGTGGACAAGAACGGCTTCGATTTCGACTTCGTGCCTCGTTCCACAATATCGTCAAATGAATCTTTCCTCACGTACTGCGTAGCCGGCGGGTTCATGCGCGCATCTGCACGGGGGGCGGCGGCGGCCAATTCAAGTACGTTGGGATGGTTCGTTTCGTCTTCCGGGGTAGGCCATATTCGGAGAGGTGGAAGCAACCAAAGTGCGGACAATGTAAACGACGAATTAATTATTGAGATCGATGGATTAATGACGAGTCCAAGCCTTGAAAGTTTGCGGCATAATGAACGGATGACCTGCGAACGCACCTGGAGCAGAGTGTGAGTTGAAACGGCTCGTCTCTGACCTAAAACTGCTGGACGACTTTGGCGCGGGCCGTAGCACCACTACCCTTTTAAGTATTTTCCCTTGATCCCAAAGGTGCATCGGCGTCTTGTGGATGTTCTCATCGGTCTGATTCCGTATTCGGAACCGGTCACCGCTACTTCTGCACGGTACGGAGACACCAAAAGCAAAAGTGCAAGTGTTAAGAGTAGGCTAGAGGAGGGACAAAATAAGAGATTTTCCGTCGCGTCTTCTTCGCACAGCTTGAAAACTGTTCTGACCGCTCAATGATCCACTTTTAGCCAGGGATTACCCATCGTCTACTTTACTTCAATAAACAGGCCTGTTTATTGATGCGCTCACCCGAAAACACCTTTGCATCCAATTCGGCGTTTATATTTGAGCCCTCCCGCAATGGATTGCAGGTCAAGGTCGTATTGACCTGGGCCGGGTATTTCCGCTGAATGCGACCCCGCGGTTGTTCTCCTTCCCGTCGAACTAAATCCTATCTTTTCGTCCGTCAACGTTTTCGGGGCCGTTTTGTTGAAGCTGGAGTTGTCCTGCAAGCTGCCGTAGGCACCAGGTCCTGGGAAGCTTCCACTCTCGGGCTCACTGTATGGATACTTCATCATCCCCACGTCAAGCGCATGAGGTGTGCCGGAGTCAGCAAGATGGCGGAACCGCATGCACCACAACTAGCTGCGTTGTCCCGCGTCTGCCAATAATACCAAGTCAAAGCCAGACCTTCCGAGACAATCCTTCCAAATACGAAGGTATAATCGACACCGTCTTCTGAGATATACTTTCGTATCACCTGATCACTTCGGAGCCAGGCTCCACGCTTTGCACAGCTGTTGAAGTTCGGGACATTGCCCGCCGAAATGTTCACACCCAATGGGGTGGAGTAAACGTATTGTCCTGGACCAGGGCCACCATGGAGACGATTGTCACCCTTAGGAACTCCCGACATGAATGGAGCGGAGCCCAGCATATCCAGGTGGTAGCGCGGCTCCAGTTTGGGGTTGTAGTCACCTGGGCCCTGGGTAAACGTGGATTATACGCGCATGTCAGGTATGTCACGCTACAATTCCTCTGGAGAGACGTGTTGAACAAAAATGTCCTTCCTCACGCGCCTACAACAGAATCTCCGACGCACCGGTCGTCGATCCTTCGCCGCACAGTCCCCGTCGAAAATGGTCTTCCGCGCTCCTTTCGAGAATTTCACTACGCCAACCCCTGCCCACCAATTGTTGTCCTGAGTATCGTAATCACCAGGGCCAGCGGAGTCCTTGAGGAGCCCTGTGCGAGTTGAAGAGGGTGCTGGCAACGCCAAAAGCTTGCCGTGGGGGTCCACGTTGTAACCAAAACTCTGTTCTTTCCTGCCAAGGGAAACAATAATAGTCGCGCAAATAGATGCGGAGAGGTAGGCAAACCATGCCGGGTCATTCATGATGTTTGTACGTAGTGTTCATCCTTCCCACATATCCCTACCCTGACGGTGAGGCGGGCACAATTCTCTATCGACGAGAAAAAGCTCTGGGGACAACCTTGAGGTCCTTGTGCTTTGCGGCATCGTGCGAGACTATGCTCGTACGGTTTGTCCCGCCAGAAAATAAAGATGTGCTCGTGTATATCAACAGTAGTAGCAAGCTTACGAACGCATGTAGGATACCATTAGGATTGTCATTGGCTTTATTTCAAATTGAAGAGGAGATATTTTTGTAAGTGACAGTAGAAATAAGTCGTACATATGTTGTTGTACTTCGTATTGGTTCAATATTCATATAGAGTATGAGACATTAAGTGAAAGTTTTCTGAGGTACATCTGCAATTGTCGGAAGGCAAAAAAAAAAAGTAGTAGCCTGATCTGATCAGACACGATGACGACGTTCTTGTAGGTCTACCGTCGCAACCACCTTTAGGGGTCTCGCCGGACTGGCAACCACCTGATTTATACGTGCTGTCATTTTGCGCAGAAGCTGTATGTGCTTAGACAGTGAAAGAGGTCTTGGGCGGATGCTTGCATCATTCAAAACAAGGCTGTTTAATGACACCCTCCCGTGCTTCTCCCGAGCTTCCCGCGACGGTAGATCAAACCCTTTTCACCGAGAACAGAGGGTTCGGGATTCGCTTTTTGGCGGGGATATCGAACCCGAGGGTGGTAGACTACTATGTGAACCAGCGTAGGCGAAGGAATGCCTTCTGCACTTGCATATTTTAGATGTGTGATTCGTCGTTTATTCATTTTTCGGAGACGGGTCTTGGGTTGACTCCGGCGTTTCCATCCATCGATGGAAATTGTTTTTGAATGCATCCAGTTGCGACGCAACCATTGGTCAAATGTCCTCTACAAAGTGCCGTAGGTCGACGACACATGAGAAACTGTTTGAAGCGGACGCCGCACGTACATTCCCGTGTATGGTATTTGAGTATACGGATCTGAACGGTAGTTCTTAGGAAAGACTACAAGTAAGATTGATAGGTTACAGTCCTTGGGATAGAAATGTCGAAGTATCAAGGGATAAGTTAAGGAAGACGGCAGCAAAGCTGTTCAATCTTCATGAAGGCCTTCAGGGATTGGTATTCTACGTATGTGCTGTACGAACGTAACCTCACAACAACTGTTGGTGGGATACATGTGGCATGAGAGACATGTGGTATGAGAGCAGAGCTGGTGCGCAGGAGCACGCTGCTGCTCCAGTTCGCATTTGCCAGAAGCACAACAGCAACACAGCAGCAACATCCCTAACGAACTGCGTCCACACAATGGCGCCAACGCACGGCATGATCGCAGCGTGGGACTGCACTCTCGCTCTCCTGCTGCTGCTGTGGTTGTTGTGTGGTTGGTGCTCGTAAGGACAAAAATGTTTGAGGTTCTTGCCGCAGGAATTATTCTGCGATCGAAGGGGGAATCTTGTGCATACTAATCGCAATATTTTTGTACGACAAACAAGTCAAAAACAAGGAACCGATGTCTTGAGCGGCGCCATGGCCTTTGTTTGGATGATGGCTTCATCTTCCGTCGCTCATGATGGCGTCATCTTGCGACCGCGGCTTGTTGGAAGTACTTAATGGACCGATTAAAACCAAGGCAAGCACGGCAGAGGAACGGCAATAACACAAACACTATGAAAACATTGTGTGACCTTCCTCTTGTGTGACGCCGGCTGATACATCAAGTTTATATAGACTATACGCCGAAAGGCCTGTACACTGGCGCCAGAATAGATGGGACGAACAACACACCTACTGGTTGACCAAATTCCACCAAGGCAATAGGTTGGGACTTCAGTATTTAGTGCGGACAAAGACGATGATGGGGGGGGATTCATTTGATAGCGAGGAAGGAGGAGGAAACGGGTGGACGAGGGAACAACCAAAACAGCAATGGAGTAGGAAAGCATGGAGTGGAAGAGAGCAAAGGATGGAGCTAGGTGGCCATCCTCACATCAAATGACACAGGGATAGAGAAGAACTGCCGCAAATAAACTACTACTGTGTGGTTGAAAACACAAAACACTTGGAAATGCCATGAACCGGGACTCCGTGAGGGGGCGTCAAGGGGGAGACTAAGCTATTCTCCACATTCAAGACTGAAACGGTAGCAACAGTAGAAAACTGCACTTGTCTACCAAGGTAGCAAGGCTGCTTGCTACTTTGCACTCGAGTTCGTTTTGAAGTGCTTTGCCCATCCTCCTCCTTGCTTTCACCACCATCACTCTCATCGCCTACGGCACAGACCGACGTCTGTTCATTGGTCACCGGTTACCGGGGTCGATGCTCCAGCAGTACGACACACACACACTTCGTGACTTCGTGGACCAGGGGCGCCACGAGGATTGATTAAGAGAGGTGGTGTGGAACTATGCAGGGCTGCAGCATGCGATCCTGCATACGCAGTGAGCACCAGGACACCCATGCGTACATGCAGTACTTACTTAACATCGAGTACTGTAGTATCGTACCAAGTTTATGACGAGGGAAAGAGTCGGGACATTTTTTTGTTGCTCTTTTCCCCAGGCGCGATAAACGCAAATCCACCTTTGCTGTTGTTGTTGTCGTTGTTGTTGTCATTGTCGTTGTTGTTGTTGCTGCGACAGTAGGTTTCCCGTTGCAGCAGTAAGCTTAGGTACGCCATATAATCCATGTATCGCAGGTTGCATAACATTCTTTGGGTGTTCACGCTCAGCAGACGACGCAAAGTCGACCTCACTTCATCATGATGAAGCAAGATTGCAGCAGCCTGTACCTACGCGCTCACCGAGGAACCGAAGGCGGGTTGAATCGCTTCGCTACGCCAGGTACGGTCTTTGACCGAGGTCCACTCCACTTGAGTTCTCGGTGGCCGTGCTGCCCCGGCGCCCCATCCGTCTCATAAGTCCCTGGCCCAGGTACTTGGACCACCGTCGAACGACCGAAAATGGTCGAACCTGGGTACTGGGGCGCCAGTCGAGGGGCTCTGGATTCGAAGCAATAGCTGGGGCGGATATCGTTGTCTGTCAAAGCCGCCGGAATCGATCCACCGTACGAACCAGGCCCCGGCCCAACGGGTGTGGATGATTTCCCCTGCCAGCTGCGATGCTGGGAGGACGCGAACGCCGCCAAAGAGGGTCGTGTTTTGATCGGTTCGGACGGACCTAGATACGACCCAGGCCCGATTGTCACCGGCGTGGGAGCCTTCTCGCCAAACTCTGTGGTCCGAGCGGATCTCACAGGCATCGCCATAATGCTCGCGCTTGTACTCCTCCTCTCTCGCTCATCTCACATTACACCAATCTCTTGCGTATCTCTCCGGACAGATTCGTACATGTGCTTGGCTCTTGGCTCCTGAGCGCTTCCGCGCGGACGTTTCATTTTTTTTTTTTCGGAGTTTGAAATAAATATCTCTACGGAACCCCTGGAAAACTCGCCGCTGACAACCGCTGATCGCCATCCACTACCTGCTGACCTCTGCCCTTTGCTGGTGTCTTCTCTCGACAACGGGCACGTGTGGGACAATGCCGACCAAAGGAGGACGACGAGTGAGTTATGCGATCGCTATTAGTATTGTTAGACCTGCGCCAGAGGATAGAAGGGAGAGGTAGAACGAGGGGCGAAGACATGAGATAAGGCGCAGGTTCCACCGCTACTCTACTGCCGTGTCACGATCCACGCCAACCCCCCCTCCCTTTCTATATGTGCGTGGTATCTCGCAGAGGAAGACCCGCACGCATGTCGTTGGGTTTCCATCAGGAGCAGTCGGGGCCCCTGAGAGTGAAATGACTGAGAAAGTCCCGAAGAGTTTCGTCCTGAAGAAGGGCAAGGTCCACTCCAATGTGTCCGACCTTGCAGAAGAGATGCGGAGGGTCATGGAACCGCACACAGCGCGCAAGCTGCGAGAGCGCGCCAAGAACACTGTGAAGGACTACGTGTCGGTGTCCAGTGTGCTCGGCGTAACCCACCTCCTAGTGTTCACACAGACGGATAAGAGCCTGAGCTTGCGCGTTTGCCGAACGCCAACTGGACCTACCCTTACGTTCAAGGTTCGACAGTTCTCCCTCATGCGGCACGTGCGAGCACTGCAAAAGCGACCGGTGGAGGTGAACCAGGCGTACAAGACATCTCCTCTGGTAAGCCGAGGTGCACGGGCAGCAGGCGTTGACACAACATATGGACTACATTGATACTCTCCACCTACGGCCTTCGGGAGAGGAAGACCTATCGGACAGCATGCTTGGGGGTGTGTAGATGTAACTCCCGTCATTTCAGCCGGATCAGGGACGATACATGTTACAGAGGAGCAGTACCTACTGCTGTAGACTACAAGTAGTTCGGTCCGAGAAGTCGAAGTCTACTGCTATGTATGATGATTGCCTTCCAATCGTATGGCCTGTCTGTTTCTTGCCTGTGGACACGTTCTCGGACAGGTCGTGCTCAACAACTTCGGGGACAAGCAGGCATCGTCTCAAGTAAAGCTGATGAAGGTTACACTACAGAACATGTTTCCATCAATCAACGTGGCGACGGTCAAGTTGCAAGATTGCCGGCGAGTGGTTATGTTTAACCTCGACAAGACCAATGGCACGGTCGAAATGAGACACTTCGCTGTTCGCGCCACCCCAACAGGCATCGCCAAGGCAATTACGAAGGTAGCAAGAAGCTGTGCGTGTGTGTACGACGGTCTTGTTCGAGTGTCTTCGATGGATACACGGTAGCCCGTGTTGCAACGTGGTATCATTTTCGGCATACAATCATAATTCTCCACACATGAGGAGTGTTCGTCGAACAACGCTTGGGTCACATCAGCGATGCAAGGAAAAGGAATGGTGTGCGCACAGAGTCCGAATTCATGCAGGGATTCCCGCAGAGAACCTGGTAACGTGCGACTTCCACGCGCTAACAAATGCTGCGGGTTCGGTGTGATTTTCTTGCAGGTGGTGCAGGCGAAGGTACCCGACTTGCACGGTCTGGAGGACATCAGCGAGTATGTCGCGGGAGGCATGGGAGGAGGAATATCAGATAGCGAGGTTGAGGATGAGGAATCCAAGATCACGTTGCCGGATGACTACGTCGGTCGGGGAAACGTCAAGTCGCAGAAAAGGCGAGACAAGTACCTGTGACACCATGATGGATTGTTGAACACCACTCGTTGCCTGTACAATGCAGCGATAGTTTGCGATGTGTACAATCGTTCCTAGTACGCTCGTGCTGCCGCCCCAACTATTCGCCGTTTTTGTTCAATGACGATTGGATCGTACAGTTCAATCCGCTTGCAGGAGCTCGGACCGCGGCTTACTCTGGAACTCATGAAGGTGGAGCGAGGTCTATGCGAGGGAGAGGTCCTGTACCACAGTTATGTGACCAAGACGGCGGAAGAGGTAAGCTGGATCAGGGCAACGGTAGACTTCGAACGTGGTTTTGACAGAATTGCCCAACCTCCGTTCAGAACCATGTTGCTGTTGACATCCAATTGATCCTGGACGTCATTTGAAGCACGATTCGATCTGTTTCGATTTGTTTTCTGGTTGCTCCGGAGGCCACGCTGGAGAAGGTCGCATAGTAGTTTGTTTGCTTTTCTCTCTCCTTTTGGGGTACTTCACATAGTGTTTTTTTCCTGGGAGGATCAAGCCATTTGTTTCTCTCGTTGACTGCGAGTCGGGCGCTGTATACAGGCGCCCGGCATTGTTGTATGACCTTTATCCGAATTTGTGGACTGCGCCGAGGCCCGAACATGCGTCCCAATAACGCCAGAAGGGTAGCTGATAATATCTCTCCTGCAGTTGTATCGTTCCCGACCAGTGTATTCAGCGGATTCTCTTGCCGGATGGTAGATGTTTGCGCCTTGTCTCAAGTATTGGAATCGTTCGTTCCACGCACGCAGATCAAGGCGCAGCGAGCGAAGGTGGAAAAGAGAGATAACCTCAAGCGCAAGCGCCGCGAGGAGCAAGCAGAGAACGTAGCGCGCAAGAAGCAGGAAGCCGAAGAACTAGCAGCAGCAAAGGCTGCTAGAAGGCTGGAGAGGGCGCAGCAAGCAGCGGCTGAAGGAGACGCGGACGAGGAAGACAGCGAAAGCGACGGAGAAAGTGGGGAAGAGGAGACTGGTGAAAGTCAGGGAGCGTTTGGTACTAGCACGGGTGTGGATGAGAGTGGGTCAGACGTGTTAGATGAAATGGAGGAGAGCGAGTAGGAGGGGGGGACAGAGGAAAAGGAGTGTGACGAAGAGGACTAAAGTCGACTGGAAAGTCGCGTTTGTGAAGTAGACATCTGCTGGAAGGGTGTGTTAGTCACTGAGAATTAGAATGCGCTGTACTCATGGGGTACCCCTTACATGAATTGACGCGCTGCATGTAGTTGGATCATATGTTGGCGACACGATCTGGCGGTGGTGCCTTTCATGCTTAAGCGTCCCTTCCAGTAATGCGCGACCATGCTTTGTGGTAGCGATCGTTCCGATACCATTGCAGCTCAAGTACCCAATACCGAACACCAGACGACAACAGTGTAAAAGTACGTTGCTGAAAACGATTGCCAAGGGGTCATGGTTACGAAATTGAGTAAAGAAACGAAATGAGCATGCCTGCCTGTAGTGGAGCAGCGCAGCGCGAAGCTGCGGATGGCGGCCATCACGTGAGACATGCCAAAACTCGCGAGCATAGCGTGGTAGTATTGCTGGTGTAGTTGTTTTATAACTTGTGTTCTGAGCCAGAAACTGCACATTTGCGCCCCGTCTTTTGCTCTTACATCACTCAAGTGATTGGTCGCAGCGTATGACCCCGGGGGTGGCCGAATGCGACGTCGTGTCCATGCCCTTTTCAGATTTTCGTTTTCCTCGGGAGGGGACCGAGGCTACATACCACAGTGGACTGCCGGGTAGTCGAACGAATCCGACGGCATGTACGTGTTTACTCTGTAGAAGTAGCGCAGAATCATGAGTACGTACGCACATTGTAGAGGCAGGGGTTGCTGAACCCTTCTCGAATACATCGAAGTCAAGCACCGTAGGAGGGGCAGATAATTCCTCCTGTAGCTGGGTATCGTGCGTTAACATATCTAAATTCCGGAATGTGGGCAACTTGATAAAATTAGGGACGGAAAAAAGAGCCTGCTCAGCATCAGAGAACCGGTCGCCTTCCGGCCGCCTCGCGTTAACGACGGTAGTGTAGCTTGTCCGTACTGCCTGGTCGGCAGAAAGAGATGCAGAGAGATTTGTGTGACCATATCTAGACACATGGAACTATTGTTAGAAAACTGAAATATAAAGTGTCGGGTGGCACAGGGATCAGCCATATCGGCTACACACTCAGCAGCAGCAGTAGACATACTGCATATGTCAAACTCTCCTTAGTCTTGTTTATACACTGCTCTATGCTAAGGATACATTGGTCCCGCAATTAAGAAATACAATTATGTCAAGAAACGAGCTCGTCATATTCTTTCGGAAAATATGTACTCCTGAAAATAGGGCTAATAAACACAGATAGCTGAATCTCGGTCACAATAACGTAGAAACGTGCCAATAAGAAACACGATCGTGCGATATCCCAAGAAAAATTAACCAAGGGGGCTGCGTGAAGGCAGTGTTTTCTTCGCCAAAAATAAGAAAACATATGAAGTCCAATCATGCGACAGGAACAAGCATAACCTGTTTTACAGACTTCGGCCTGTGTTCCTTCTGCCCAGCCAGGCAGGAAAAGAAATTAGGCACGACCCGATATTGACCTTTCTTGTCTCCGGGCCCTATCTGTAGTACCATATATTTGTGTCATTCGTAATGACGAAGGCATATTTAGGTATTCATTCCAATCGTAAGTCGCGGCTCGCACGCTCTACATGTAGACTATTGTAACTGCTGTCCTAGGAACCGGCCGCACCCCCGAAACATATCGATCCAAATAAATTGTGTCCCTCAGAGATACTAAGATCGTGCTTTGGAGCATGTTTACTTCCCTCACATCTATTTACTCATGTACAAGCGCCTCTATTGCTAGGCACCAATGCAATAACGTTGCCGTGGTTGGAACTGCCATACGCTACTATATTTGCCGCTGAGAAATTCGAGGTTCATCGTCCGTGCTTCACCGGGAGTGCCTGAGAGCCGGGACCCCCGGGGACTGAATCACCATACACCCGGATTTGTGGGTTTGCACAAGAAAATATTTTTTACGAGTTCGAGAGAGAGGGCTAGCGAGCAAACACACGCGATACTCGAAAGCACGCTGGTAGTACTGGAGAGGAAGGACGCGAGCAAGTTTGCTGCACTATTGGAGGAGGAGGCGCGCTTGGTTCATCGGCTATCAGTGCAGCGGTGGGCCATAATTCTTGCTGCGGAGAGCATTTGTTGCCCAAGTTTTTGATCGTGAGATGGCCGCGGTGATGACAATGTCGGCGGATTCTTCGACGACTGCCGCACCAGCACCTTCTTCCTCAGGTGATTGACTACCGTAAACCTGCACGCCTCGTGATTAGCAGTAGATCTCGTTGCATCCGCTGTGCAATTTTGACATTGAGGCATGATGTTGCGCCCCAAGGTTTGCCTGGCTCAACCAGAGTGAAGCGCCGCTTTCGTGCTGCCGCCTGTTACACAAGGCATCTCCAGTGTTCGCCGTACCTGCCCAAAGAGAGCAATACGCGACGGGCGGCAACCACGTACTCTCAACCCAGCTATGTCTCGTGAACGTTCTTTGAACCTGCTGCTGTTGACACCTCACTCTTCAACTCTCTGCTGTATCTTGAATATTTCAGCTTCGGGACTGATCTCCATGCTAGAGGAGGACGACGATGCGCTCCGCACACATGCACTGAAGCGCCTTCACCAAGTTGTCGACAAGCACTGGGCGGAGGTTGCGGCGGTAGTTCCCCTTATCGAGGCGCTGAGTGAAGACGACGCTTTTCCTGCCCGCGAGCTCGCCGCCGCAGTCGCCAGCAGGTGCTTTTTCCACCTGGAGGAGTACAGCGATGCCCTTCGTCTCGCCCTCGGTGCCGGAGAGTACTTCGATGTATCCTCCAAGACAGAGTATGTGTCGACGATGGTGTCGAAGTGCATCGACCAATACACGGCTCAACGGACCGCCGCTATCGGCGGGGGGGCACCAGACGAGGCTCCCGAAGAAATGGACCCTCGAATGGAAGGCATCGTCGAGCGCATGTTTGACCGTTGCTTCGCAGATGGCGAGTACACGCAGGCAATGGGGATCGCTCTAGAGGCACACAGGTTGGACAAGGTGGAGGAAACCATTGAGCAGGCGTCCGACAAGCCGACCCTGCTCAAGTATACCTTCGACGTGTGCCAAACTTTGGTCACCTCCCGCCAGACGAGGCTCAAGGTGCTGGCCATCCTCGTGGCCATGCACCGCCTTGTGCCTCAACCAGACCATGTTGCGGTGTGCAAGTGTCTCCAGTTCTTGGGCGAGGTAAGCGTCCAAAGGGAGAATGCTGTTTCCCCTTGAGAGATGAGAGATATGGAAATCGCGGAGCCACACCTTGGCCACGCTACAGTCTGCTTGACGGCTGTTTTGTAACGTGATTGGCATACAGGCATACACGTATAAATTCGTGTAGACACAGACTTTCGATGTCTCGCGTCTGTAGTGCCTCGTCCATCTGTACGCGCCATGTGCCTGTTACAGTTTATGCGGGTTGTTGTGCAGCTGGTAAGATGGGTTCCTTCCGAATTCGTCTGGTTTGCAGCACTCTTTGCTGAGAGTCAACCCCAAGTTGAACGCGTGCAGCGCACCATTCATGACCCTTTGTGCGAGGCAAGGCTTAACAGTCCCTGCAAGTCTTGACTACACGAATAAGGATGAAAAAAATTTACAGCGCAACCGTTTACTACCCTGACCACCGACCGCCTACCCGCCCCGTAACACGCGCACACATGGCAGGCGGCCCAGGTCGCAGAGGTGTTGAAGGACCTCTTGCGCGGGTCAGATGAGTCAGCTCTGCTGGCGTACCAGATTGCTTTTGACCTTGTGGAGTCTGAGCACCAGCACTTTGTCATGCAGGTCAACAAGCACATGCCGCAGAAAAAGGCGACAGAGGCCGTACCCGCTGCTGAATCAGGGGAGGAGAAAAAGGAAAGCACCGAGGGAGACGCGGAGGCGGCAGCACCAGCCGCCGCGGCAGCCAGTGGTATGGAGGTGGATAGTGAGGTTAACGAACCTGAGGAAAGCGAAGAGTTTTTGGGCCGCATGGACAAGCTGAGGCAGGTTCTCGTGGACGGCTTTGGTATTGACTTGTCTCTAAACTTCCTCTACAAAATGAACAAGACGGACCTGCTGCTGATGAAGAACATCAAGGGGGCCTTGGAGACCCGCAATAGTGTCCTCCACAATGTGACGGTGGTCGCGCATGGATACATGCAGGCGGGGACAACGGTGAGTGTTTCTGGATGCAGGATGTGTGACCTCCACCCTCGTCGGCGCTGTAGCCGTTCATGAACGAGGCACTTGAGGACGATGTTTCGTTCTGTGGTTAGCTGGACTTGCACTGCCGAGTGTGTTTGTCTCGTGCAAGTGTCCACGGGTTTTTTTGGAGACATTGATACGTGTTAAGGTTTTGCATGGCCATCTTCTGTTTTCCCATGCCGGAATCGTAGTGTTTCTCGAGGGTGCAACTGGTACTGTAGCAACTGCTGTACGAAGCATGAACACGAGCTTTGGCGGAGAATTCCCCTGGCTGTTAACGGTTTTTCTGACCTTCTGGCGGTCGAAGAATCGCATCCGCGCTGACCAGCGTTCCATGGCAGGGTGAGGGCGATGTAGCGCTCTAATACCTTAGTCTCTTACACCTATTATCTGTAGCTGAACGGTTTGAATCCGCAATGGACGTATACTTCATTCTGTTTGCTCACTACATTTGTACGTTTCATCTGAAGCGATTTTGACGCCATTACGTTTCCTTCGTTACGTTGGATAGGTGGATACTTTCCTTCGCGATAACCTTGACTGGATGGGGCGTGCGAGCAACTGGGCCAAGTTCACGGCAACAGCAAGCATTGGCGTGGTCCACCGCGGCCACATGAAGGAGAGCATGAACCTCCTTCAGCCGTACTTGCCTCAAGGGGGAGTTAGTGCGCTTCCCTACAGCGAAGGCGGGGCTCTGTACGCCTTGGGGCTGATCCACTCCAACAAGGGAAGCGACGGCAATGCTCAGGTGTGTATTCTTTAGTTTCAAGTGGCGGAAACATTCGACAATGGGCGCACGGCTGGCGGCGAGCAGCTTGGGTCGAATGTGTCGCTCGTGGTCTCGTCCGTCCGTCTTTCGACTCTGACTGTGTGCTTTGGTCAATTCGTTGTTGCATGTCATTGCTTGCTTTGTGCTTTGATACACGGGTGTGTTGATGACCGTGCGATCTTGGTGTACGTGGGTGCCCTCTCGGTTTCACTGTCCGGATCTTGACCAGACAGGTTTCAAGTATGAACGTTTAGAAACGATAGGGTACGGCGAAGTTTGTCGTATCTTAGGGGTTGAATGGGTGGGCCCTGACAATACACTAAGGCATGCGTTTGGGACAACCTGGTTGTGTCAACACAGGTGATCACATACTTGCAAGAGGCCTTGCGCAACGCCGGCACAAACGAGACCGTGCAGCACGGAGCTTGTCTAGGGCTAGGCTTGGCGGCCATGGCCACTGGCGGGGCGGACCTATACGAGGACCTGAAGAATACCCTCTTCAAGGACAGCGCCAACGCTGGTGAGGCAGCCGCGTATGCTATCGGCCTCACTATGCTAGGCAAGGGCGGTACCACTCCCGAGTCGAGCACCGCGCTGGAGGAGATGATTGCCTACGCGCACGAGACGGCACACGAGAAAATCATTCGCGGTTTGGCCATGGGCATTGCTCTCACTCTCTACAGGTGAGGTTTATTTGTTGTGATTGCCAAGGGAAACTCTTCAATGAACAGGAAAAATATGGCGCACGCGGCTAACCTTTTGTTGTGCAACTCCGTGCATCATGTGCGACATACGTTTCCAGCTTTCTCATGCCTTTTTTGCAAGGAGATGAAAGTGTCGCATCCCGCTCAAGCAATAGGAACGTTTTTTTTTTCCAAAAAAATCGACTCCTTTGCCCGTCCATTTACTCCTGGCCACGTTGATATCGTTTTTTTTGGTCTTGCAGTCAAGAGGAGGCCGCTGAGGGAATGATCGAGCAGCTCTCGCGGGACCGGGACCCCATCTTGCGGTACGGTGCCATGTACGCTATCGGAATGGCGTACTGCGGGACTTCCAACAACAACGCTATTCGGCGGTTATTGCACGTAGCTGTTTCGGATGTCAGCGACGACGTACGCCTGGCGGCTGTGACTTGCCTAGGATTCGTCCTCTTCAGAACGCCAGAGCAGGTACGATGTAAAAATGTCATTGTGTCCCATACCCTTTCAATATACGGACCAGTATCGTATGGAGAGTGTCCATTGGAACCGACGTGAACCGAAACGCAACCACGAGATGGATGCCCACAAGCAGCGCTGCCGGCAAAGTGGGTGTCATTCGAAGAAGAGGCGCCAGAGCTTCTTTGCTTCACAGTTCCCCCAAATGTACTGGCGAGCACGTCATCCGACATTTTGTCAGTCCCGTGGGGAGATATGAAACCGCCCTTTGTTGAAGGTTTGCGCAAAGTTTGAGTCCCCCCCATCAATAGAGTGCATGGTCCCGCCGCCCGTTTTTTTGGGGGGTATCATCAGGATAATCCGTTGGTCGCCTGTGTAGCTTCTTATGGGGACAGCACTTAACCTTAGCACAACGGCTGGTATTCTTTGCCCGCCGCAGATTTGTGGTTGCGGAGTTGTGTAACTGTGGGCGAGGAATGGTTTTCATCCGAATGACGCAGGGGGTCGTACCCAACCTCGTGGGACTCATCATTAATCAAGACCGGTCTCAACGACCCCTGCATCTGGAATCCCCTCGTGCTGTCGCCTATACTTCACACCTTTGACAAGGTTGCGCAACTCATACCTGGTAAGTAATTAGTGTACGTTGCCGGAAACGCGTAATGATATCGGCAGTGTCGGAAGGCCTTTCTTTTGCGCACGTTTTTGACACCTAGAACCCTTCGGCCATGTCTTCGATGTTGCTGCCGCCACGTCGGTCAGGTGCCGCGTCTCGTTTCCCTGCTTGCGGAGTCGTTCAATGCGCATATGCGCTTCGGTTCCTGTCTGGCTATTGGTATCAGCTGCGCCGGGACCGGGTCTCGCGAGGCCATGGACGTGCTCGAGCCCATGATGGAGGACGTGGTCGACTTCGTTCGACAGGTAATTATCTTAACGTACAACACACTGCTGGCCGAAGAGTACTATGCGGACGTTTGGGTTGTTATTACCGTCTCTCGTTGTTTATTTATGTAGGCCTGACTGCTCTACTGCTGTCCACCCCGGCAGTAAGTGCTTGTGGCCCTTGGTAGTAATGTGCATCGGTTCCACTTCGAGTTATTCTAGAGGTGTGAACTCACAACTTGTCGGCTTCTCACGGACCAGCGCGCCGCTTCGATGAACCCTGCTTTCTCTAGGGTGCGCTGATTGCCATGGCGATGGTGCTGATGCAGCAGTCGGAGGCGCGTATCCCCAAGGTCAAGGCCTTCCGCGCCAAGCTCACTAGCGTGATTTCGGATAAACACCAGAGCACAATGACCAAGATGGGAGCCATCATGGCCAGCGGCATCATGGAGGCCGGGGGGCGTAACGTGACAATCACCATGCAGTCTCGCGCCGGGTTCACCAAGATGTCCTCGGTGGTAGGCCTCGCAGTGTGGTGCCAGTACTGGTACTGGTACCCTCTGATGCACTTCCTGCCTCTGGCCTTCACGCCTACGACTCACATAGGGCTCAACAAAGACTTCAAGATGCCGAACAACTACGAGGCGACGTGCGACGCCCGCCCAAGCCAGTTTGCGTACCCCAAGAAGCTCGAGGAGAAGAAGGAGGAAAAGAAGGAGCGAGTCACGACGGTCACACTCAGCACCACCGCGAAGGCGAAAGCTCGCGAGGCCCGCAAAGAGCACAACAAGAAAGAGGATGGCGATGCGCCTACTGCCGACATGGAGATCCAAGGGGACGATGCCGGCGTCGAGGAGCAGAAAGGAACCGACGGGGACGAGAAGGAAGTGGGGGAGAAGCCGGAGGCACCCAAGCCCAAGAAGGAGCCTGAGCCAACAAGCTTTAAGATCAAGAACCCGGCACGCGTTACCCCCTCTCAAGAGCCGTTCGTGCACTTCGATATGGAGCAAAGGTGCTGCTCAGACGCGTATAATTGTGCACTCCTTTGGACGTACAACTCTTGTATTTAAGACAGACGGTAGTGACCAGTAGTGTTCGGACTACGCTTTTGCTGCACTTTTGCACGCGGTATCTAACCTGACTTAAACTCCCCATCCTTGCTGGCCCTCGAACCAATGAATGTTTTTTAGGTACGTGCCGGTGCGAAAAACGGGGAAGCCGCTCGGCATTATCATGCTTTTGGATCGCACGCCCGATGAACCAGAGGATGTAGCCTTGGTCGAGGCTCCTTCGACTGATCCCGACGGGGAAGAAGCTGACCCACCGGAGCCCTTCGAGTGGACCCCTGGCGGTGTAGGCAAGCCTATCCCTGCTACGGGTTCGTAGGGTGTGGCAGTCGGGGCGTTTTCGGTGCCGGCGTAGTTGAGACACTAAGGAATATGATGGCATCGCAGCGGTTGCAACGTTGCAACACGGACTTGAGTTTGCTGTTGGCTCGTCTTCTTCGTCGAGCCATAGTGCTGGCCTTTTGTACTGTAGGAATGGAGAAGACTACTTCTATGCAAATGTTTCTTGTGAATGCTACGGAACAGACGCTCAAGCAGAGGAACCGCTCGACACATTCTTACCGCAGAGCCTAGCGTCTCCCGTTCAAGCTACTCAATTTGTCCCATGTATGATTTCGTTGGTGAAGTGCACGCGTAGAAGTTCGTGACAGCCCCCGACACTTATGTGTATACATTCTCTGGCTTCCCAGCCTAGCTTCGGGCACACGAACCTTTTCGACTGGTACGAGATCCCAAGTTTCTGTGCCAGCCCACTTTTGAACCTCTGCAAACGATGTGCCTGTGTTCACAGTCGGGAGACTCTGAAGCATCCTCCCACCTCACAACCATGCAAGGATGCAGCGCATCAATCGATACCCGAAAGCACCTACATCCTCGATTTGTTGCAGCACCTCATTTTTGTGGAAAGCTAGGCACTCTGGATGCATACCAGCGCCAGATTGTCCATCCTAAAAACTCAGCTTCACACTCCACCTCGGGACGTGGCGGTAACTACCATGGATCTGCTTACAGTTGTAGCGCGAACATGTTGGTACACCAGAACCTCTTACTCAGCACGGACACCTTCGTACCACATCCGCAGAATCATCCGCCGCCCCTGCGACGGCTGAGTTCCCTACAGCGAAGTCTGAACTCTCTACATCCAACAACCCCCTGGTGCGTCTAACGTCCGTCCCAATAGTAGACGAGAGGGGACGCCATCTTGGTCCACGCCTTCACCCATCCACAATTAATTAAACGAAGGCGAACACTGCTTCCACCGCGTGCCGCGTAAGCTTCCAGTCCTCTGGTCACGACGAGCTAAACATACCCTCGTTTGGTACGGAACTGCGAAATTCTCATGTCTGATGCCGACGGGATTGTCTGATGCAGCACCTCCAGTCAACACGTGCCAGACGATTGATTACAGCACTTGCTGGGCAAGGTCAAGTCGCGTAACAATCCAAACCTAAAGGATCAGCCCAGGTATTCGGGTGCTCAAAGATCAACTCACTCCTGATATGATATCGATTCTAAGTGCTACTGCCTGCCACGGCCACACTTGCTACAGAACAGTGTCACGCGAGAAGCTGGCCAAGTCACATGCAAACACCACAAACATCGCCGCCGTTTCGATGTTGGGCTCTGGTCACATGGTCTTCCTCTTCTTTTTAGACTTGGAAGGGAACGCATCGCCGTAGTCCAAGTTCGGTGTTGTTTCCTGCATGGGGCATGACAGCGCAATGCCAAGCGATTGTGAGGATGCCGACACTAGGGTTGCAGAACACGTATCAACCCCGTCTCAGCCCTGCGTGTATCAGCCCTGCGTGGACGTACGAGCTCCCACCAGCACACAACTACTCCCCACCACGCATGGAAGGGATTCTCTTGTAGGAACACTCGTCCCTACAACACGGAGTGTTATTGAGTTGAGCATCTTTCGGAACCGTGCTCATCTGCGCTACTGGGATGGCGAAAAGTAGTGACTCCATCCCAGCATACATCGAACGTGCAGTTTTGCCTGTGATTTTTGAAGTACCTCATTTGAGCGGAAGGTGCCGTCCCCTGCAAACAAAATATATACTACATACAAGATTGGCTACCTTCGGGGCATCCACGTCAACGTAAGATACGAGGCTCCTTGGGTCCCTCGGTCCCGTCGGCTCCAGCATGCTGTCCACCCTCCCCATGCCTCGTCCTCCGAAACGCCCCCCGGGACCGCCTCTGCCACGGAAACCTCCACCGCCCCTGCCTCTGAAGCCCCGCCCGGCTGAACCCATCATGGCGTCTGCAAGCACAGGGGGGGGGGCAAATATTAGTACGCAGGCCGAGATGCCGAGACCTTTGATGACAGCTCACCAATACCCAACAAAGGTACGGGCATGAGCAATACAATCAATGTCGCATAAACACGCTTCACGGGGCTTAACGGCGAACAATGCGGAAACGAAGACAGCCAACTGCGATCGCTTTGATGGCGCACGTTTTTCTGTAGTCTAAATTCAACCGATCATATGAGGCGCCACTCACCCGGCGGCATCGGCATCTGCATCGGAAAGTCGCCCATACCGCCCATCTGACCCGGGACCATCGGCCCCATCATGCCCCCCATGCCCATCGGCATACCGCCGCCCATCATCGGGAACCCCGGAGCGCCCATAGGAGGCGGGCCCTGAGGCATGGCTCCAAGCGTCCCACCCATCGCCATTGCGCCCGGTAAAAGCACCACGGGAGGGGTGTTCGCGTCCGCCACGATGTTAGGCAGGGGCTTGTTGTCATCTGCCATTAGTAACTCGCGCACGAACGGGTCCGCCACCTGGGAGGGGGCGGAAAGGTGAACATGAACAAATCAACCACACGAGTGCGAGGCACAGCGCCATCACTTTACGTCAAGACTGGTATCCCCCGAGCCACAGACGTGCTTAAGATGCCCTAGCGGATTCATGGGTTGTACACGACGCCAGCCTTTTCTCGCAAGCTCGCAGAATCAAACCGAAATTCAACCGAGTGTCTTGCGAAAGTGTACTTGTATGAGAATAGGCGCAAAGCTTCACCTGATCGAGTACGAGCTTGTACTTCTCAGGATGTTTGTTGACCAGATGCTTGTGGACGAACTCCGGGGCCTTGAAGAGCTGCGAATATAGCAATAACAAAGACAAGCAGCTTCAAATGTATACAAGGACGCGAGAACCGAACCTAGCGGTGCGCCTGCAGCAGGCTGTGAATATTCGATACCAATATACACTTGGGCACAGCGACCTGTGCGCCGGCCTACTCCGCCTGTACTCGATGCCACCAGCGGGCATTCCCTCCGTTTCACTTTTGTCCTCACTGGAGACTACGTTTGCAACTACCCAACCACACACGGGCTTCATTTCATCACTCCATACGTTTACCCGAAACGTGATATGAAATATGTGCCAACACAGGGTGTGGCCAAGCAACCCGTAGACTTGGAGCGGCAGAGTTTGTCTAGGATGCGCTAACAAGCTGGCTCAGCGATGCTCAACACCAACAGCCCTTGCGAATAGATGCGTCACCCTACTACCTGCCCAAGAGAAACCCTCTGAATTCACTACTTGCCTTCCCACAGTTGGGCATTACGCAGCGGGCGTAGCCTTCATCGGTGCGACCCGTGTTCATAGCTTGCCACTTTGTCACCTCCTGAGAGCATGGGGTAAGGAAGGTCCAGGTCCAGCAGGGTCAGAGAGAGAGAGCGAGATACAGACGCAAATAAATGTCAATGGGATAAATGCCCGCAGGGGCAGCTTGGGGCCAGGATTTCTCCGCACCATAGACATGAACAAAAAAGCGACATATCTAAACGAGACACGAGCAAACAGGCGGTAACATGCGTGGACAGAGTGAGTTGCGCAGGGTCTAACATCTGCCGTTCCCCGTCGTGGGAAATAACCTCTGAGTGCATCAATCCGACACTGAACGCAGGTATGCTTCGCACCGCTTTGACGCGCTCATCGTAGCGCTCAACGAACGCCTGATCTTTCTTGCGCGTCTCCTCTGCATTTTTTGCCTGCTTAATCCGGTCAGCGGAACGAGCGTCCACAGAGTCTGTTCCGGATCCACGTCTGCTGGTCTGCCCCGTCTCGCCCTTGTCGGTTGAACCCACACTTGCTTCCACAACACCGTTTCCATTCGTGCCTTCCACGGCGTCTGCCTTGCTCATGGCCTGCAACACCGAACCACGCAGATTGTACAAAAATGAGCTGTATAGCCCTCCAATCACCTTCGCTTGGCCTACGTCTTGTGTTCGTATTTTGCATCCTGCTGTCGCTGGTTGTAAGACGAACTACGCACAAAGCTGTCGTTCACGTTACCCAGCAGTATTCGATACTCCGCGGAGTAGCTCACAAGGAGCCGCACCGATCCAAAACATTCTGGATATCCAAACCACGTAGAAACGTCAACCGTGGACATTCTTGTTGTTTCATCGGAATACGACTTGAAACACAATTTTCTAGCGGCCTGTGTTTGGAATATTTGGATCCATCAAGCCAGCTACATTGGACAAAGTTATCACTACAGTTGGTTGCCTGCGGAAGACTCGTTTGTTTGAATCCACAGCCTAACCCTGACTTCATCTACACATTGGGTGAAAGATCACTTGCCGCTTGAATTTCCTCCTTGGATGCCGCCGGAACACCGCGACCTGCTCCCCTAGAGGCGATCATGTCCCCCTCGTCCCTGCACTGCTGCCCCCGGTAGTACACGTAGAAATAGACACGCTTCATGTAAGCGCACACCAGATCTAGTTGGGCAGCCCCTGATGACGACGATGTAAGCGCAGCCTGGACCTGCATCAAGCATGACAACGCGCATGCGAAGATTGGAAAGGGTTGAAATGAGGCCTCAAGCTGGGATGGTAGTATCGGCGGCTCTCGGCTGGTGAAGTGTTCGACGTGCTTCCTTCATATGCCTGCATGTAGCGGGCAAGTGCGCATGCCCTACGGATACTGCGTGCAGTAGTAGGGGATGGCTGCCGGCATGGGAGAGACATCGAGGACATCGAACACGTGAAACAGGACAACACGAACAACGAGCAAACGACTGCCTGTGCGCATACAAATCGTGCGTGATACTTTGCCTGGAATGCCAGCACGATGCCATCATGTATCTGCCGAGAAAAAAACAAACAAAAGACGGGTGAAACCCTCGTGCTTTCACCTCTGGCTCCGCGAGAAGCGCCGTGATGCCGTCGGTGCTTTCGGCCCGACGAAATTCCTCGTCAAGCGCCTTCGCAACCTTCAGGCTCTGCTTGGTGTCATGAGCGATACGGTTCGCCGTGGAGAAGTCGTGATCCACCGAGTTCTGGCTGCGCGGCTGGTAGGAAAATACCTTCAGCTCGAAGTACCTCCCGTCTCCACTCTGCTTCTTGGCGATTTTGGCTGCCACCCACAAACACCGAATGAATTTGTCGTCACACACGACCCTCAACAACTAGGTTAGACACAGGAGTTACAGTGAGCCCAAACCAACACCGGAATACATCACAAGTGTCCACAAAACGAGCACGCGAACAAGCAGCAAATGAGTTAGTGCAGACATGGCAATCGTGAGGGCCCAAACTTCCGGCACTCCATTGTCAGAGACCGGGTCACTCCTTTTTCCAGTCAGACTGTAAACAAGCTCTTACTTTTGGGTTTAGAATTTTGATAGATGCGCATCTTGTTCAGCTGCTGCACAGCCTTCGTCGCTTTCTCAGGCGTATCGTAGATGATGTACGCTGAGCGGGCGAAGTCGTCGTTGCGTGTGTTCGCGGCGTCCGAGCAAACAATGCGTTCGTGCTGGGGCGCTTCCTCAATAATCTGGATCACATGGAGGTAGGTCGACATTGTTGCAAACCGCGCCTTGTCGGTATTATCATGTCATGATGAAAAATAGGCAAGACAGCTCTCGGGTCGATCACGTACCCCGCACGCACCAAGTCATTTCCATGTTTTGGTCGCCCAACTTCTTCTTGACGTGTCTCCTCAGCTTTCGGTATAATTCTGGACGCACAAGCCGGGGTCACACAGGACGAGGGACAGACAGTAGATTTCCTCTTCGCCTTCCTTCGGCGGTGCTTTTGCCTACATACATGTCGCGAGAGGGCTTCAGTCGTTTCTTTCCCTCATCGACTTTTTCGAATTCGATTTTTTCGAATTCGATTTTTTCATATAACGAAATTACCGCATTCCACAGTGTTTGGGCATCTTGCGATGAAAATGCGTGACTGTGCCGAGATTCAAACCCACGTCCCAAACGCCAGAGGGTTGCGACGTTACCTACTGATTCACTCTGGCACTGTTGAATGACCATGAAATGACCTATATACCTGACGTCCAAGCTCGTCCGTCGACACCCACGCAGGGATCCGGCGAATGAAGGCCACCTTGTCGGAGTGTGCGGAAATCTCCTTCGCATCCACGTCGTAGTCGGCGTCGCCATCGTCTTTATCGTCCTGCTGTTGTATTAAGACCAATATCACCAACACGTGTCAGCGCCGATTGGAACGAAACACGCCATAGCGAAGAAACAGCCCGTCCAAGAGCTTCGCGTCCCCCACGCAAGATTGTCCGCAACCACATAATGTCACCTGAGGCATGGTCTCGCCCGGTTGATCCACGTCTTCTTCCATAGCGTCAACCGAAGCGTCCTCCCGACTCGAGTTGCGGGGGCGCTTCTTGCGTTTATCCATGCCACCCCAGCGCTGTTCCTGGAATAATCACCGGGTCGGAACCAGTCAGTCAGCGTCTGGGTATGTATGCACTGTTCATCTCATAGGCCGGCATAGACACATCCACACAAACCCTAAGGCATGCGGCCGCATTCAGTGTTTACCGACTGTTGTGCACTGCTGTGCCTGCCTGAAGCACCAAACCAGCTGAGCCAAACTGTGCGACAGGCAGTAGCTCCTCGGCAAACGTCACACAAGAGCACTTTATTTCCAACAACATGCACCAATTGGAATTTACCGACACACAAGGCAAGACGCACATACCTCGGAAATAGGATCAAGCGAAGCGCTGGCGATGAACAACCGCGGGTTGGCCCGTAGCTGCTCCCCGAAAACGGCCGACTCCTTCTCCACCCACTTCTGTTTGGCGTTCCTCGTTGATTCAGCTTTCTTTGGGTGGTACCGTTCGAGGAACCATTCCTGGTCAAGGGCAAGAAAAGAGGAAGACATTTTCAACACCAAGGAAAAGGTTTGCATGCACCCTGTGGCTACATATTTGATTAATTGCACCAGTCAAGGGCGAGCTCCTGGAGTCAGCGACTCCCTACTAATTATTCGGACTTACTTCTTTGCAGTGTACATCAATGAAGCTGTGTGTCAGACGTTGCACGTAATCGGCCTTGTACTCGTCGTAGCGTTGGTTGCATTCCTCTGGTGTCACATCGTCGCGCTGCTCCGCCATGAACGCCTGCCAAGAGAACCAGGACATGAAATAGGACTCACCAGCGTCAAGTGAACGACTATTATAGTGTATGTCTATCGCGAACAGGGGTTGGGCTGTTCAAAGGGAGGTCAGGCTTCCGGACATCGAGCGGCTTGCGAAGCAGGAAATATTTGTTGGGCCATTCGGGCAACGTGAAAACGGTGGGATTCTGGACGATCTTCCTCCTTCACCTTGAACGAAATCATGGGCAGAATGTTGTACGTGCGAGTGTGCGGCCCTGGCAGCTTGGGCTGGGGCCGCTGAGTTGTCGTGAACACCATTTGCCCATGCCCAGCACCCTGGGGAGGGAACATGGGAGCCCCGGGCACGCCCATAGGCTGCATCATCGGCAGATTTCCTCCCATCGGCTGCATCATTGGGCCGTTGTTAGATGGGCCTGGCATCATGGTAACACGGTTTCGCGGAGAAAGCGATGTTGGTCAAAACACGCCAGACCGCCAAGCAGCCAAAAAGCCACCCAGAAAAAAACACAATCCAACAAAGACTACGCCTGCACTCCTCGCAGGCAACGCAAATGGTACATTGGAACAGGAAATCAAGAGCTTGCGACAGATTGCGCGTTCAGCACATCACCACGGTACCACAAAGGTAGTGACATCAGACACTCCTGGGTACATGCGCGCACCTCTTCCTCTAAAAGGATCCCTGCCTCCAGCTCTCCCGCCATCCATTTGTGCAGTTTGACCACGGTCGCGTCTAAGCATGACGACAGGTATGGGGGGGGAGGGGGGGCGTACTCTTTTACGTTTCGCATGCTTCTTTGCGGTTAGACCATTGAGCACACGCGTCCTCGACAGGACGGAGCGTTGTTCCCACAGGACCGATCACCGATGGTTAATCGTTCCTTCCTACTTTGACAAGGGACATGGGGTAGGAAAAAAGGAGGGTCGGCAGAAGCATGGCGTGCCCTCCATACAGCAACATCAAGTGTTGGAATTCGAGGTTTGCTACAAACAGTAACCTGCGACACTTTTCTGGGACACGGCGAGCTTACCTTCCCTGACCCTGGCCGCCCGATTGGCGAGTTCTGTCTCGCGTGTTGTCAAAAGAGTCACGATCCCTACCCCTCGTCCGATCTCTCTCATCCCGACCCCTGTCCCTGTCACGAGAGGAGCCGCGGCCGCGGTCTCTCTCCCGAGAATGCTCACGGCCTCGGTCCCTGTCTCGAGCAGCATCACTTCCACGGTTCCTGTCTCGTGAGTCGTCGCGACCCCGCTCCCTGTTATCTCGGCCGATGGGATCTCTGTCTCTCCCTCTAGACCTATCGCGCTCCCTATCCCTGTCACCATCCCTCCTTCGGCCTCTGTCTCTAGAAGAATCTCCGTTCATCCCGCCGCCGGCTCGATCCCGACTCCTGCTTCTGCTCCTGCTCCTACGAGGCCGATTGAAGCGTGCATGCGGAGAAACTCGCGGTTTACACTCGCGTCGTGAACATTCCGGCTGCTAACCCAATGGTTACCCTATGGTTGTCCACACCGCGACAAGCACCGTGCCAGCAGGTCACTCGTGAGCATTCCAAACTTGTCCGGTTTATCTCCGCCCAAACATCAAAGTGGTGCTTATGCTCTTGCCATGTCATGATCAGCGATCCATACCACCTAACATGAGGTACGGCGTAGTGAGTTTCGCCCAACTGACTTCGACTTCATTTCTATCCCCGGCAAAGGGGTTCACAAATGTCGACCGTTGAAGGAATATCGTCACATGGAAATGCGACAAAAGGGCTTTTTGTATATTTTCACAGTGACCCCCAGATACCAGTGCACCGAAACCCAGATCGGGGGGGAAGGGGGAGGGGAAGGATGTACCATTGACCTTGCATCCCTACAATTTCGCGACGGAGCGATTTGCAGGATGTTCGCCGGCCCAGGCTATGTTAGCCATCATCCTTGCATTTGCTGCGTCAAGCCAGATGCACCATGGGTTCATTGGGCACGCCGGCAAACCACACGTTTCACGTTCGACACGCACCACTACACTTCCAAGTACCACACCGGACGTCAATCTTTGCGCGCTTGTACACAACAGGCACGCCACAAACACGGCGAACGAGTCGCTTGGAGCAACCACACTCATCGCCCGGTTGTGAGTTCGAACAACAAAAACTACGCAGTGGAAAATTCCCCTTTAAAAAGTGAAAAGAGCGCACGGTGAGTCGTGAGTACCCACAACAAAAGAGTAAAGATTCAAGCCTTGTCGCGTTCAGGATTGAAGGCAAGCACCGGAAAAGGAAAGGTGGGTCATTTTTCATGTTGTGTGACTCCGGCTGGTGCGTCAAACATGAACCGACTAGTCTAGTGAGGACTGGCGCCAGAATGGACGGGAGCACCAGGGGGGCGCGGGGGGGGGGGCACCGCGCACACGCCTGAGATGTACGAATGGGTTACTTGGCTCAGACGGGCTCAGGCTGACTCTTATGGCAACCAAAAGTTGACCCGACGGAGATTTTGGGCTGGCATACCCCCACCCCCCGGATTTGACACGAATTCGACCAAGAGACAGGGCTCTCACCACATCACCACATTGTTCTCTCTCCATGATGGTCGAGTCGCCACAAAACCTAAAAGGCTGTGCGCACCACACCTGTAGGCGTCTTTGAAGCTAGTAGCGACTGCTGTGGGAACTGTGTGTGCCGAGAAGTATCAGTCCATGTGAGCAAAACTAAGAATCCGTGTGGAGAATCCGCCGAGGATTCTATACGAGAGTTTGGCCTATTTTTTGTAAAGCATCTCCCACCGATTCTCCACACGGATTCTTACTTTTGCTCACATGATTTGATATTTCTCGGCACACACAGATCCCACAGCAGTCATTACTAGATTCAAAGGCGCCTACAGGGGTGGTGCGCACAGCCTTCAAGGTTTTGTGGCGATCCGACCATCATGGAGGGAGAACTCTGTGGTGATTTGGTGAAAGGTCTGTCTCTTGGTCGGATCCGTGTCAAATCCGGGCGGGGGGGGGTAGGCCAGTCCAAAAAATACGTCCTTTCAACTTTCGGTTGCCACAAGAGTCAGCCTCAGGGCTTGTTTCAATGTTTACAAGATACACCAAAATAGAGGCACTGCAAAAACTAGGTTTGGGGAGGGGTTTTGTTTTTGTTTGTTGTTTGTCTTCACATTAAACCGTATGTCAGTTGCTAAATGCCAAAATCTAGCAAAAGACTCTCAGCCCGTGGTCACGAAAGTGCTAGAGCCATCTGAGGATCTAAAGAACACGCACACGTCTGACGAGAAAAAGGTATGCAAGAGCCCGAAGAGGTACACCTAAAAATCCCTGCAGCACCGTATACGTGCCCAAAAACTGAACTGCACGTCCGTCCCACCGTTCGACTACAGTAGCATCACCCCCTCCCTGTCCCACTCTATACCAAAACGGAAGATTGCCGACTACAGCATAATGCTGTCTGAAGTGCTGTCTGTACAAAAACACCATGGTAGGCATGGAACAAGCAGCTGGCGGGGCACAAAGCTGCTGTCTGAAGTGCTGTCAGAATGTGTCTGCGGCCGTACAGTGAAAAAGAACAACCAACCAAAGCCATCATAGCAGCAATTGACAATCACCCGAATCTCTCCCGATCGTCTGTGTTAGGCACGCAGTGAAAATATCGACAATAGCTAAGAATCGTTCCACATTGAAGGGGTCTTCCACGATCAGGCACAAAACCAATGCACCCGGGTTAGCCACGCCATCTCTGACGGGTCTCTCTACAAAACCAGTGACGACGTCATCACATAGAACCAACACCGAAAATCAGGAAAAAAACGAGAAAAATTGACAACACAGATCAGATATAAATGTTTGTCCGTGCGCCACGGGTCGATGTCGCCCGCATGCTCCGGTGCCGCTGCTCCGTCCGGCGCCGCTGTAGTCAGCCCGAGCATAACGCCACTCGACCTGCTCCGTCCGTACACGCTCTCGTTGCTGTCCTTCCCAGTCCGTTCCTCGCTTTCTCCCTCATTGCACTCAAGGTTCTTGGTCTGAAAAAAATAAAAATTCTCGCGCCGAATGGTCGACCGGCCTAGTTCAGCTCGTCGCCACCTGCTCCCTCCTCCTTTGATGGCGAAGCCAGGTTACTGAGGCAATACAGCTCCCTCTAGCAAACCTAGGGCCGTGTAGTGCCCGTCCACCTTTCTGATGATGTCTGCCTCCGCGCACAAAAATGAGATGGGCATCACTGCCAACGCCGACGGCCAGAAAGGCCCGCGCATCTACATTTTCCCGCCTGACCCCATCAGTGCCGACCCAACTCCACCACCACACGCACGCCTCGCGGCGGATGCGCAGCAGCAAGAAGGTTTCGGTCATCCCTTGAGGGTGAGTCTAGCCCTGCTCGCCAGAAAGACCCCCCCCTTCGCTACAACCCATGTCTAAGCAAAAGCTTGTCGAGGAGCGAGGGGAAGAAGGGAGAGGGTACTAAGTGCCAAAGACGCTGATTGGCCAACAGGGAAAAACACGATGAGGCTTTCTCTGCCCTGAAAAGCGGGACTTCGATATTGGGTGCAGCGAAAAACATCTGCTATTTGATTTTGTTTTAGCTGAATCGAAGTACCGGAGTTGGACTGCGCCCCTTTTGCACCAATCATGATGAGCTGAACTCGTGTTGGCATTACCCCTGACGGGACCGCATGTGGTACATTAGCCGTGCGGCACCCACACGCATCGCCCACTGCCCGCTGCTGGGAATAGCTGAATTACCATTCTGTGAGCGTGAAGTTGGGTTACTGTGGAGGTTTCTTCCCAACATGTGCGATGTCAAAAAACAACATCCGGTTGTGTGCAGCGAGACAGTCCAAACAAAACTTGTAGAGCAAGCCTGCGGATAAGGCTCCTGCTGATGTGTAGCTTCGTGTGTGCTGATATATTTTTACAGCTCCCGCGTGGTGCACGTTGTCTATCGCTTTACCTATTTGGTGACAAAGTCATCTCGCGGCAGCGATTCCGCCGCATTGGGTGTGTTGATGAGCCTTGATTGGCACTTGGGGATGGCAAAATTACGTCCAAACGACGCAAGGATTTTGCCATACCCGGTGCTGACAGAGGGATACAGCGCCTAAATTTCCGTAAGGTCGAAGTCAGGCGGGGAGGGGGGGGGGTGCGGCAAAACTGAAATAAATTGATCAGGGGGGCACACGGAAAATACTGCTGCCACTGGGGGGGCGATGACATTCATCCTCGATAGGGCACGGCACAGCATAGCAATTCCTTTTCCTACCATATAAAACCGACTCCGGTGAGGTCAAACAAAGGGCGAGGAGGGGTAGCAGCTCGTCCTGTTGTGTACACTCCGTGGAAAGCCCTCTTGCTTCATAACAAGCGCTTTATTGTTGGTTGGGAGCTTGGGCACTAGTCCCTGGATACCAGCAAGTTGCACGGCTGCGTAAGGCCCATTATGGACTGCTGTGTATCAACGAGCAAGCCTGGATATGTGGGGTGATTCCGCGTAAGCACAACTCTTGGATGTCCCTCAACGCAATTGTATTCCAAGACAATATTTCGTTGGTACATTTCAGTTATACATCGCGAAGATGAGTGAACACTAGTACGTGTCGATGAGCCAGAGAGAAACAGGGCAAGGCTTCAGCAAAAAACTGAGTCTTTATCCGTTGTGCAACAGCAGTTGCCTCACCTGCTTCTCCCTCGCCTGCCCCGTCTGCTCGGGGGCTCGTCGTCGTGGCCGTTTTCGCTACCTTCGCGCCCGACGACCCTGCTGCCGCCAAAGTCGTCTGCAGCATCGATCACCTAATCAAACCATGCCGAGCACCAGCAACAAAGCAAGTATGTAGTTTAGGTGGGTACAGACTACACGTATCCGTTCGCGTTTTGACCTGTGACCGCCGTTCATCTCGCCCCGCGCGTCGGATGTTTGCTGACTTGACTTGGAATCTGTACAGGAGGCCAAGCTCACCTCATCCACGACAGTTTCATCACCAGCCGCGACGCCATTGGTTTCCTCTGCTGCATCCAGCGTCGCCGGTACTCCAGGTACGTCGTCGCCATCGGCGGCTGTTGCTGATACTGCTGCAGCTGCTGCTGCGGGCGTCTGCTGTTCGTGTGAGTCTCCCACCACCTCGGACTGAACGTCTGCCTTCGACTCGCCCATCTGGATAACATTTGCCATACTCCTGGACAAACAGGAAACAGGTTGAGGATGCGAGATCCGGTACTCGGCGAATGGGGCACCTGAGGGAAAGGCGCAAGACCCACAAGCAGCCACCAGGCCGCCAGCGGGGGCTGATGGATGGTGGAGGTGTCCGGGGGGGTCCGGGGTTCCGCTGTATGATTCGCTGTCTAGGATCTCGACCACGGACCCACTTTTCAGGCCACATCACACAAAAAGCACTGCTGTAGAGACGGTGAGAGATATCAGCTTAAAAGATATGGCCGAGCTCGGGGACTTCCTCGTAGGGGGTTCGGAAAAGTTGAAGGTGAGTTTCCAAAACGCAGTCCGGCCTTCGTCATTGGGAACGAACCCTGAAAGCTACAGCAGTACGTAACGTTTACCTCGCTGAGATACAACAAACGGCCGTTGGTAGATCCATGTGATGCTACTTGTAAGATATGCATCGCAAAGCAGGCTGCCCACCCGAGAAACTCCTCCAGATGTGTCGAAATGTTTGCCATGGAGATTCAGTGATGCCTGCCGATTGCTGGACGCTACAGCAGTGTGTGTTCATCTACAACTGTAGACTATCACGCTGCCGATTGTTCAGCGCGGCGGGCGGGCTAAAATAAAAACAAACGCTGTAGTCTAGACTAGTCTAGTCTAGTCTATCTAGTCTAGAGTCCATTCCAAAATTTGCTGGGCTAATCTAGAACATCTCCATAGGGGACACTCTCCGGCACGTTACCTAATCTCATCCCCGACACTAACGTATTATTTGCAGAGTCTCCATGGACCATGGACTGCTCGCCGGAAGTGCAATCCTGAACAAATTCATTCGCAGATCTGTTGAGGAATGAATGTAGACCAACCTTTTAGTCGAGAATATGTTTTGTATCGACAATCACCAGTGGACCAAGACTGCTGTACAGTAGTATCAATCTAAACTCTGCACATGCCCGCTCCTCGCTGTTTCCTTCGGCAATGACAGGATGTAACGATAGAAATGTTAGACTATGATTTTCTTGACAAGTGCACCGATTCCGACCTGATCCGCGCCATCGCGCGTAAGCTCAAGTCTGGGGAAGAAGGACACTATCCAGATCTTGTCAAGGTGCGCGGGATAAAACGTGTTCCTGTGTTTACAGATAGGCCACGTGCAACCAGCTCTCTCTCTGTGTACGTGCAGTGTTGAACAACAGCGGCATGCTTGTAGATGTACGCCGTGGTCTCGCCAACACGCAACTTCGTTAATGCATCATTTCTGTAGCACCCGGGGTACGTACTACGTGCATGTAGCTGGGCCGCGTGCGTCGGTGCCCAATCTGGACGAGATGTTGTTCCTGCGAGCTGCAGCTCTTGCTTTGTCATCCCCCGCGTGGCACGGCACGTTGCCATCAGCCTTTTACACCAAAACGACGATTGTCTCTTCCTGTCTTTGGGTATGGTGCATGTTCGAAGCATGCGGAGACTCGCTTGCTGGAAGAGCTCCCACAGGCTGAGCGCTCTAAGATACTCCGGATGAAAGCGGAGCCCCAACCTGACGAAATACATGAGGTACGTACTCTACACCACCTTGGTATTGCGACCGAGGTTATGTGGCCCTCAACCATGGTTCTGTTGGTTGGTACCAAGCCTAGTGCTGCTGGACAAGCTGACCCGGTAAAGTCGTTTATTAGGTTGCCCTTTTAGACAAGCAACATGAGAGAGTGGGCTCCATGTGCATCACAAGCACCACGGCTCTCTAGCGAACAGTCACAATAAATAACCGTCGGACAGATTCATCCGCAACTCAGAACACTGTTCCAACTGACCAAAGATACGTCGGGAGATACCCCGAAGATCCACGTCCGTGGAACGGTCACATGAGAACTCGCAGTAGCCTTCATACGGATGACATAATCCACCTCACGAACAGGTTCTGGGCGGGGGTACTTCAAATACTTGGAGTGCTAGACTAGAACCGCAGTGCCGGCCTTGGATTCACGTTTCTCCTTCAAGAGTGCCAAGACAAGCGTTTCGTTGCAGATGCCATGCTCATGCTCACGAAAATTCTGCATGCGCGCCGGCATAGAAAGGTTAAAGATTTGCTTCGCACATGTGTCTTATCACGACGTTAGGATAGTAACATGTTGGCATGCCACCAGAAGTTATTGACCTTCATTACGCATATCAACTACTAAACGGACAGATTTTCATCCATGTTTGAGCAGGCCATCAGCGACCTACATGGCTGGGAGGACGAAATGGCCAGAGTAGTACCTGCCAGACGCAAAGAGAGCAACAGTGAGGACGCGCATGCTCCAATATGGACTAGCAACGCCACAGCAGAGACAGACAGTACCAAAACGGTGAGTTGTGTGAGAACGATGCTATCGTGCATTCGGGGTAGCTGTGACCTCCGCATCCCAACCTCTTCATCGGAATTTTGGTGTATCCCCATCAGATAGAAGCACACAGCGTCAATTTGCTGCATCAGTCCGTTTGGGGCAAAAATAACCACCGCTTTCAGTAGTGCCTGGGACCTGTTATTCGCGAACAGATAGAACCTCCTATGCTGGATGCGAGACGCGGCAATTATGATGGTGGCTTGGCACGTTCTACCGGACTTGCCATCGAGCAGAACAGGACGAAGAAACTCAGCGCGTACGACTTCAGGTAAGAACTTTCGTTTTCTGTAAGGCTGAATGAGTTCCGCGAACAAGTACGATGCATACCAAAGACCGTTTGCTGCTATGCCGCGGTGATACTGCAGGGCATGGGAACGCTATGACGCTGATAAGGAAATCGAAAGGCTGGAAAAAGAAGAACTTGAAGAACAGCGGCTCAAGGCTGAGGTGAAGTCATTGCGTACTTACATACACGTGCAGGATAGCACGAAAAAATACCAACTACTTTTTCATTGCTCCATTTTGCAGCTGTTACTTGCACCTTCCTACCCTATGGCCCAGTCTCCTATGTCGAAGTGCTCCGACCCAGGGTTTATCAGAAAAATTGTACGTAGTAAGGTTTCGTCCATCCTTCTCTCGACTACATACCTCCCCCGGATTGGTTTAGCCTCTCAATAGTCTTCGAGGTTGCGGTATCATAAACCACCGGGGCGACCAGTCTCTCGTACACGATAATGTGTGCTACGTTGGTCGAACGTTCAGCACGTGTCATCATCATGACTTGGCAGAGGACATGCACGGGTCTGCTCACAACATATGTATCCAATAACAGGCAAGAGTTGAAGCAAAAGTCACGGTTGAGCAAAACCGACTAAGACGAGCCAAGAAAAGAGAAGATCAACTCCGCGAGGCAGGAAAAGCCCGGTACCAGGGAAACCTCTCTCCGTTCGAGAAAAGGCGTGCAGCGGAAAGGGAACGCATCAAGGGCAACGAGTCTTTCAAGGTCAGGGGTATGCACCTGTTCGTCCAACCTCTATTCGGGGAGCATTTCAGCTACCCTGCAACGTAGGTGAAAGTATTTCCGTCTACAGAGTAGATGTTTAGATGTTTACCCAAGCAAGCATTTTTCTCTATGCAGAGAAAGGCAACCTTGTTGTTTGGGCGCCCGCCTTGTTGAAAGGTTGCGGCCACGTCCATACACCACACTAGCCATTCAGTTGATGAGCGTGTAAAAGGTTTTCCGAGTCCCTTGCCGACTGTTTTAATCTCCATAACTCTCGCCGCTATCATGTCTTTAGGTCGAGGAGTACGACGAGGCATTCCGATGTTACACGTGCTCTCTCGCACTAGACGATTCGAACCCAAGGGTGTACAACAATAGGGCCGCGACCGCACATCACTTGGAACGATTTGATCAAGCAGAGGAGGACTGCACAAGGTCAGGGCGAGCATATCGTGCTGTCTCTTTATCTGCTTGAGCCAACTAGGTTCGGTCAAGTGCCAAGATCCGAATGTATCAAGAAAGTTGGCCTTTTAGAACGTCCACGTCAGTTGGACCGGTACGAACGTTACAAGGTGCTGAGCAGCGACGGAACAACTACTGGTGGTGCCTTTGCTTGTTCGAACATATTCCCCTGCTATAGGGCTATTTATCTGGACCCCGCCTTCAAGAAAGCCTGGATGCGGCGGGGAATGGTTCGCCACAGCCGTGGGAAGTACACGGGCTCCGTAGCTGACTTCACGGAGGCTCTCCTTTTGGATCCAAACGACAAGCACGCCAAGAAGCTCCTGAAGCACAGTGCTGCGAAAGAACGGGAGGTAAGCTGACAACCCCCTCCTTATTGAGCAGACGCATTTTGTATTTGTTTGGTTGTAAGGATACAGTAGTCAAGGCTCAAAAGAATTTCAAGCAATATTCTCGAGCGTCCTTGCAGTGCCGTCCTGCTTCCCTCTAGAACCTGGTGTTCTGTGTTGTCTCGCTTCGATCTCGACAGAATGTTCGCTATGCACATACATCCAACTTCGAAGGTGGAAGGAGAAGCTGCTGCTGGACAGATGCAAGCAAAGCTTAAGAAGCCGGGGCGAATCCTCATCGAGGAAGTAGACACGCTAAAGGTAGGCCCTTGTTTGTACGTATCGTTGAGCATCTGTGAGTGGCGAAACAAATGAACCACGCACCGTGAGGACTTATACAGACTCGGGAGAAGCAGCTGGTGTACGAGTCGCGCAAGGAGATGCACAATCGTTGAACTATTGTGTTTCGAGGTTGATATATATATTTTTCCTTGTTGGCAAGTTTACTGCTGTGCACCTACGTGACGACCGGTTTTATGCTCGCGTCTCTGGCTCATTGTTCCAGGAGGAGGATGAAGAACACTCAATGGTGTGCATTCCTACAACAAGTGCGGCCATAGCTCCTCCTACTCCCGGAAACCAGAAGACCCTGATTGCCCATGGCTGGATGGAAGTCGAATGAGAAAGACTCTGTTTTTGCTCGTTTCTGTTGTGCGTATACGTATAAGTATCAATTTACCCACCTCGGTGGTTGGATGCGAGACGGCTCAGGATGTGGGGCGCCCAGATTTGACCACTGTTGGCTGGATACCTTTGAATACGACCAACTTTCGGTCGATGCGAGCGAATCAAATGGGGAGCAGCTTCCATCAAATGTATCCGAACGTACAACAGAACTAGACCAGGGTGATACTCTTTGGCCAGATGTGTTGCCTATCCAGTGTCTTGCTTGTGCTTTTCATGCACGCGTTAGACCAATGCCTCGGCTTCTTCGTATCGGCTTGAAAAGTCCAAACACCCGACAGGTGTTTTGGCGTGATTTCGTTTTACTTCTAGTACACACGTGTTCATGTGGCAACTTGTTCGTGAGGTGGCCCGCTCGTAAGCAACATCGTTTGTGAACGAGGCTCGAAACCTTGTAGGCGCGACCGACGGTGTCGCGTTCGCCATCGAGAGCAATGCACAACGTGACCGTGCTATCCAACGCTTTGTTTACGCCCGCCTACAATCCGTATTTGGTTTTTACTCCGTTCGTGTCTTGTTTACTTGCATTAAGTTGTGTCATGGCTCGTGTGCCCTAAAAAGTAAGAAGCGACGCGCTTCACTTCTCGTTGGCTCGGGGAAGTTTATTTTTCTCCCCAGTTCAACCAGCAAAGCATTCCCTCTTGTTGGTATATTGGCTCAGCGTACGGCGAAGGGTACAACGGGATGCGGATTGGAACTGATTTGCGACCGAAGTCTCACGCATGGACGATTGGCCGCTGTTTTGAAGCACGCACACAATACGCTGACGTCCGCGTCAGGTTGCGGTCGGGAATTTAATGCAGTATGTCGTGCGGGTGCAAGAAACAGCCATGCGTATCACCATGGCATGGATGTTGTAATACGTACAAGAGGAGGGAAAATACCTGCGCCACGCAATGGTGTATAATCTGTAACGCGAAACTTTAGAATAATTTGCAGGAGCGGAAGAGAACCGCTGTCTCAAGTACTCGCCAGGTTCCCAAGCTGCCTGGAGATGACCCCAGCGACTGATCCTGCGAGGTTCAACAAGTTGTAGAGGCGCCTGTCGGGTTCGCCAATGTTCTGTCGGGACGGTAACTCAGAATCACACCTTCCACTGATTCCATCTTGAGCGCCCACCGCCCAATTACTTCATATATAAGGAGCAACGGTTTCAACGTGACTGAGCGCTATCACCTGCGGAGCCCTCAAAAGTATCCGTCCGTACGACTGTACTGCTGTTGTAGTTGCAGATTCGTAGCGAAACTCACGGTTTTCGCCGGTGTTGGCTTAGAGTTCAGAAGAGTGGCGGATGAACGAGATACGTAGGTCGATCTCCGAAAAGGTCGTGGCATCCACCACATTTTCAGCGTTGACATCTGCTCTTGGAGTAGAATCACCAATTCCTGAAGAGAACTGTGGACGTCGGTTCCCTACGGATGACACAACAATTTCCGGGGTGGCCTGCGGTCTCACGGAGGAACGGGGGGGGGCGTACTCCTGAGTTTTTCATGCCTTAGCGGTTAGGCCATTGACCACGCGTCCTCGGGGGACGGAGCATTGTTCCCGTCCCACAGGACCGATCACCGAAAGCCAATCATTCCTTCTACTTTGCCAAAGGTGGCTCGAAAAAACGTTTTCCCTACCATATCCATCCTATCGATATCACCTCCCGCCTTTTCAACCCACTTCCTATGTCCCAGTACAGCTACCGTCCTCTCGTGCCTATACCATTGTTGTTGTGTTGTTGCTGTTGTTGTTCTCATCACATTAATAACCGTTCCGGTCTCCGCTCATTACCTTTACTGGTCCAACTGACGCGGACGCCTTCCGTGGCCACAAGCCAACCAACCCAAAAGGGGATACACCATTCTAGAATATATGAAGAATAAAAATGGACCCCAGAAGAGTCCAGCAGGGCGCGAATTGGTTTCTACCCAAACGAAAACAAAAACTAACCAGGATACAGACGATCGACCCCGGGTCAAAAAGTACGATGGAAAAAGAACGAGAGAAAGACTAAGGAAACAAGAACGGAAGATAGACAGGTCCCTTCCAACGCTCCAGTCCACCGGAAGAACAAAATAGGCAACTACTACCGCGACATCAAACCGATGAATGACGCTTACAACGACACCATCTATTAAGGGGCACTGCGCAGGGGTGGGAGGGTGTGAGGGGGGGCGTACTCTTGTGTTTTGCATGCCTTAGCGGTTAGACCATTGACCACGCGTCCTCGAGAGGACGGAGCATTGTTCCCACAGGACC